ATGGCTTAAGGACTACAGACTACGGACTACAGATTACGTAACTACAGATTGAGGATAAGATACGGAAGGACTGCATCCCGCGGACTTAGAACACAGATTTGGGAACATAATAGTGTGAATTACTAGCATTCATATGTTGATAAGGGACGTGTACACCGATTGATGAAGTATTTCGGTGGACCAACTTACATTATTCAAAAATGATATTTTCGTATAGCTTGGCTTTAGACACTCCTTTCGACGCGCATTTACTTTAATTCAGTATGATTCAAGAAATAGCTTTTATCAGTCAACAGTCTTGCATTTCTTTAAATTAACACACTGTTGTTCATTTCCCTCAAGGGGGTGGGCACTCCACGATGTGGACATTTTTCTCCATCTCAAATTAACTTCACCGTCCCACTTGATTTAACAGACGTTATTGATGACTCGCTACTAGCAACATATCAAAGGTTTAATGAGATACCTGATCCCAAACTACCTGTAAAATACCCGCGAACGCCTGGGTATCGACCGACCGGGCCCAAGGACAATCCTTATAACGCATGGTAAGTTAGATCTAGACTTAAACAAGGTGATGCTAATGCAGTGTGGCAGCTGAAACTCCTTGTCTTACATTCGGATCCCTTTGTAAAAGTTTTCGGGGTGTATTCGATTTTCTTTTCTCATTTACCCAAGGTACTGTCGCTGTGACATCCCTGGCGCTCCAAACGGAAACCTTCACGGTAAAACGATCGCCATCAAGGACTGCATCTGTGTTGCGGGTGTTCCCATGATGATGGGCTCCCAGATATTGGAAGGTTATATCCCGGATGTCGACGCTACCGTGGTGACAAGGATACTGGATGCCGGTGGTCACATTACTGGGAAGGCTGTTTGCGAGAATCTATGCAACAGTGGAGGCAGCTTTAACGCAGCCACTGGTCCTGTAGTTCACCCCCTTGATGAGACCAGGATGACGGGAGGATCTTCTTCAGGGTGTGCTGCTTTGGTATGATTAGAAAATAGAGCATCGTAGTGCTGTGTAGGGATCTGCTTGCCGTCCTACACAGACTTCCCAAAGCTCTATTTAAAGAGCTCATAATTACTGACCACTGAACAGACTGGTTTGAGCACGGGAGACAGTTGCTGTTGTACTGTTGTATTGTTGTGTAATGGACTCTCACAGAGCCTCTCCCCACTCCCCCGGGGTATAAATGGGTACTGGCCGGTGAACCACTTGGGAAGCCTGAAATAAATTCCGGGGTCAACCTTGGGATAGGTTGGCATCCCATCCACGGGGTGTAGCAATATTGTAAGTCACTTTATGCTACAGAAGCCAGCATACAATCCGGCTGGATGGGCACTTGGCTCGAGTGTGTTTTTACCGTGTTAGGAACATTTGTCCTTGCAAGTATTTAGAACTCTGAGCCGTCTCGGATAAGGACCACACTCCTTCTTCTAGATCTTCAGCGTTAAGTCATCAGAGGACATAAATGAACCCCCACAACATAGAGAAGGACACAAAGCTCTTGGTATTGTGGTCTGTAACCTCTTTCTCTAGAATAATCAATGCCATAAAAGAAATTCTCTGAATCATCGTAAGGCTAGCCTAGGAACCTTGTCTGTTGAGATTCAGACAAATATGCTTTACGAATTGTATTTATATTCTTTTGAATTTTCAGGTGACAGGAGGTCACGTGGACATGGCGGTAGGTGCTGATCAAGGTGGCTCTGTTCGTAATCCAGCGGGGCGCTGTGGCATTGTGGGGTTGAAGCCTACTCTGGGTCTCATTCCATATACGGGTGTCGTACCTATGGAATTCAGCCTTGATCACGTGGGGTTGATGGCAAGAACTGTGCACGATGTAGCGTTATTACTTGAGGTTGGTATTTTGTTTTTCAGTGCGTTCCTAGAAATTCTTAATAAAAAGCATTGAAATGACGAAGGACACGAGCAATAAAGCGGGCGCAAGTCTTTGATTATGCACATTTCCCAAATCACAAGTTTTCTCCAGAACGCGATTTTTTTCCCACACACATTTTCCCCAACGCTCTTTTCTCTTCACATGCGTTTCCTCCACGAGTAGTATTCATCCGTAATTTAGTCGTGATTCTCATTTATTCTCGTATTTTTGTAAGCTTTCAATTTTCATAACATCTCAAGTTGTGCTTTTTCCTGGGATAAGCGTTCTTTACACGAACTAGGCTATTATTTAGCTGATTTTTTTTCTTGAAAGCCCTGATTGAAAGATTACTATTATCTTCCAATGTACATCCGTTAATAGATGAAATTGTTAATAATGATTTTGCATTGAAGGTTACAGCTGGCTCAGACGATGGCCTAGATTATCGCCAACCACATGGACTGCGGCCAGAAACTTACGTAAATCAGGTGACGAAGCTATCTTGTTTCTAGGATTGTGATCTTTTTGGCCAGCGTCACAATTTTAACCAGCTCTTTCTGGAACGAATTCTCCCTGTCTTCTGATCACAATCGGCAGCTTAAACTGCGTGATACTAGCAGATAAGTAATTTCTTTACGAATTTTTCTATCGACGGCTAAAATCAACTTTGCTAAGTTGCTCGTTAGAATCTCCTCATATTCTCGTATAAGTTTAAACTGGACATTTACACCCTTTTGAGGAAGAAACTCGTGCTAAAGGTGATGTAGAAAGCCTATAAACTAGCACTTCAACATACTTCCACAGTAGGCATTTGCCATTTACCGTCCATAGTTTGCTGCTTACTTTTTACCGCTTATCGTTTGCCTCTTACCGTTACAGGGAACGGTTTACCTTCTTCTGGTAACCTTTTACCGTTTACCATTTATCGTTTACCTTTTACCGTTTAACGTTTGCCAATCAACATTTATCATTTTTGACAGCTTACGAGTGAAATATCCCACCTTCGACTCGGACTTCTCACAGAGGGCTTTTCTCGTCCACAGTCTGAGCCCGATGTTGACGAATGCATCAAAAAGGCCGCTAAACGGCTGGCTACAGAAACGCGTGCGACTTTACAAGATGTCTCTGTTCCGATGCATTTGGATGGTAAATATAAAATTTACTTTGCGGCAATTGAAAGCGGCAAATTGGCTACTTTGGTAATATTGCAATTTTTCATTTCCAGTTTAAGCGTTTTAGGGACCGGTTATAAATTATCGCCCGGTGAGGGAGGAAAGGGGAAAGGGGGAATAACAAAGGATTTTTGCGGGGATCACAGGGTTTTAAGGGGGAAGGGAGGGGGATTCAGTCGTCGCCAACAGAGTATAAAGGGGGGGGGGGTGCAAATTGACTGCCAATGAGGGGAAATCATTCGAATATAATCGTGGAACAACCGACCCTCCCTTCCCCAAGTGATAACTGTGACCGGTGCCTTCTTCAATACTACGCGGGCCCAGTAAGTGCGGCTTGTCCTTTTGTTTCTCTTAGCAACTGTTATTTATGACGCTTTCACCGAAGGAGGACTCTGGCCTAACAGATTTTTTGAGACAAACGGTAGGTTTAGACCCCACTGAAAATAAAATCAAGATATAAGCGAGGTAGAAATAGCGGCCAAATATCTCAAAGAGTTCACAGTTTATACCTGAGAGAGTAGCAGAACAGACGTAATTTTGTTTTTTTTGCATTTTCAGGCGCTCTCCCCCTCGCATTCCTCAAGCTCGCCTTGCTTTTGCCATCCTTCGCCTGAAAAACGCAAACGAAATCACGCCTGTTTTGTAGGCTACTTAGCCGGAGAGAGTCATGGAGGCCTGATCATTCGAGCTCCGGCCTGGGCCGTTTCACTGTTCTCGTGGGCAAGACATTTGACTCTTACTATACAGCGCCTCTTTCCATCACATCATAGAACATGAACTGACAATAACTAAGAGCTGTCAGGAAAACGTTGCAAAATGAAATGTTTTGAAGATAGCTTGTGATAAACCACTACTATTTACGTTGAAAATTCTGAATACCCTTTCTTTCTGATCATTTGCATCTATTCTGAAGGCTATCAGGTGACCAGTCTCCAAAAATGGTTTGCACAGGGACTGAAAACTCGTGCAAATGATCTCAGTGCCGACTATAAAGTCACAGCTATCAAAGGAAGATACTTACAAAGTAATTATAACGACGAGTTTTACTTTAAGGCACGCAATCTAGCGTGGAAACTAAGGGAAGTGTTTGACGAGGTACTGACCAAAGTCGACGTGTTGATAATGCCTACCAATCCGAAAAAAGCCAGACCACTACCGCCTCCAAATATATCTCTACGAGGTAATTTTATTGATTCAATGATAAATTATTAAAAAACATGAGTAACTAAATAGTCTAAGGTAAAGTCCTTTTCTAGAAAAAAATAGGCGTCATCGCTAGGTCTTTATTTAAGAAATGAAAAAACAATTGGTCTTCTTCGAAAAGAAAAGCATTTTAAATACAACGAATTTATGGAATTCATATATCTGAACTGCGGTTATAGAAACGTATTTGTGCACGATCCTCGCAGTAAAGAGCATTGTTTAAGCAATAGTGAAAATCAGACCTCTACCAATTGAGCTAACAAGCCAGCTGGGAGTAGGTCATCAAATTAATTCGACATAAACACGTAAGATAATAATTCAAATACAACGAATATATGGAATTCATAAATCTGAACTGCGGTTATAGCAACGTATTTGTATAGCGCTGCACTAGTATCGTAGAGGTCAGTGGTTCGAATCCCGCACAGGCCTGAATTTTTCCAGGTCTGATTTTCACTATTGCTTAAATAGTGCTCTTTACTGCGGTTATAGCAACGTATTTGTATAGCGCTGCACTAGTATCGTAGAGGTCAGTGGTTCAAATCCCGTACAGGCCTGAATTTTTCCAGGTCTGATTTTCACTATTGCTTAAATAGTGCTTTACTGCGAAGGATCGTGCACATATACGTTTCATAACCGCAGTTCATATATATGTATTTCAAAGAAAAGTGCGTTATCATGGAGAAGAATTACAAGGATTAACTGACCATTCTTTTTCCCTACAAACAAGTAGCAAATA